AATAGTGATACTTTGCAAAGGTTCCCACTAACCTTGTCCGTATGGATTTGAAATGTGAACATGCCTCTATCCTTGGTAAAAAAATGAGCCCGTTTGGTCGAGTTGTAATGAAGATATTCAACTTTTTCTTTGTGGAGTTACTTACTGGACACCCTATATATATACCTAGATCTCATTTCTATTAGTTATATAATAACAAGATAGCGTTCATCCTACGGATTCATTGACCCTTTTTTGAAAGAAAACCTAGAAAATTTCTGAAGAATTTGTTGACAAAAAAGCATTTTCAGTTTTGGTTTATGCATCAGATATTCTTATGAATAAATATATAACCTTTTCTTCATCAAGATGAATGAATAGCATGACCATTTTTATACCGCAACTTTAGTCATGAATGTGTGGATGTGTGTGGGAAGACAGAGAACACTAACATGTATTCATACTCATGTCATATCTCTAACTGACATTCACTATATCCAACGCAATCAAACGGTTACAGTTACACCCATAATTCAGCTAAATTTTACATCTACATCAAAAAAGACATCTAATGGACTTTATTTGGAATCTAAAAATCTTATCAATCACAGGCTATATGGCAAAATATGTGATCGACTCAATTTTCAGCCTGTAGAAATACGAAATGAGAAGCTATTTGAAATCTCATTTTTTAGCACAGAAAAAGTAAAAACAATAACATACATACACTTTTTTTTATCTAACAGTCTTTTTCCCAGCACACGGAATATGTCGCACTGCACAAAGCAGAAATATCGACTACTAATTTCAAATTAAACTATTGCTTTTATATTCTAACTCAAGGAACAGCCAGTACGACATTTTAATATATCTTCAAACAAAGTGCACGATAAACCACCCTATCTCGTAGAACGACCAAAAACGCTTCTGATAATAAGAAGGAAAAGAAGCTTCCCTGAATGCATTAAAAGTTCAAATACAAGAGTCAGACCAATTTTAATCGCACTCTAAAACAACAATTAAAAAAATTTTTAAGAATCAACATTTTCTCTGAGTACATGACTTAAACGAACATTGTCTCATGTAACAGCTTATTTTTCAAGAACGGAGACTGTTTAAGTAAAAAATGTTTTCAACAACTTCTTTCTTCCACCGAAAACATTTATCGGATGCTAGTTGACTTAGTAAACCCATAGATGGCAGGAATTCTGCATAGTTTGGTTTAAATACCCTCAATTTAGTCATAAAATATCGAATAGATGTTTCTGAAAAAATATCCTCATTTATTTTGATTAAACCAACTAATAAGTAGCTCACCGTCAGTCTTCGACGTTTCTTCTAACTCATCGTTTCTCTAAGTGCATCACGCATTTCAATACGAAAAACCAATGTGTCTCTAGTCCCATTCTAGGAGAAACTATTGACACAAAAACATTTAGATCAATCTAACGTTAGATTGAATCACTTCACACGTATAAATCAACGAAACGTGACATTATAAAGCCCTAAAGTCGACAAATAGAAAACTTCGTTTCTGATTGATGAATGTTCCGACCGACAGAAGATCAAATGAGAAAAAAAAACTTATGTCCGATAGGCGTTTCTCACTGGTGATAACCTATAGCAATGTTTCATCAAAATACTTGAAAACCAAAAAATAGAAATACTCACATCTGCTTCGTTGACTTTCTGCTCAATCGAAATCTAGATTAAAAAGGGGTGATGGGTGTGGGTTATTCTTCTTTGATCACCCATACCCTAAGTTGACAAAAGTACAAAAATGTTTAGAAAGGATGTACACCAAATGTCATGAAGGGTACCCCTCCGCCTCTTTTTTGACCATTTCTGGTTCTTGAAGACGATATAACCGATCCACTTGAAATTTTTACCATAGTTAGAGCATCTAAAATAAGCTTATATGTATTCAAGGAAAAAAATTTTAAAAGAGGTTTTTGCCATTTCTTTGGGAAAATTTAGTTTCCCATAGGGCCACATCAGGCCACAGTACAACCCTCATTAAATTTCATCCGATTGAGCTGAAAATTTTTTTTGGAGATACCTAGGGTTATATCTCAGAGGTAGTTTTGAGATTTTTTAAAAATCTCGCTTTCTTTTTTTTAATGAGAAATACGGACAGATGCGGGCCCAAAATCCGAGTCTTGATGTCCACAACCCTATAGATTCGAATAGGAAGGTTCAAAATAGAAATGGATGATTTTACTTCTGGAGAGAATACTTCCAAGAATTTGTGGTAAAATTTTCAGCCCAATCGGACTAAGTTAGAGAGGTGGTGGGGGTCATAAGCAGCTCCGATTGAGAAAATTCTAGTTTTGCATTACGCCAAGTAAAAGAAAAACAATTTCTTACGATCTCTGTGAAGAAAAATTTTTTTTTAATTCGGTAACTGTAAGGTATTTAGAGTTGAATGATGTGTCTAATTGCACATAACACTTGAGACTACCATACCTTATGCCCAACTCGAAATCAAGTTTTTGAGGGGGAATACCCTTAAGAATGAAAGAAATTGTAAACAGGAGATCGAGTTAATAATTTTAAACAAAATTGTCAATGTAAATTATGTGTAGAATAAATATATGAATATTTTCATTGTACACTTGCTCTATTAGATTTTGTCGTCAAAAAACTAAAGAAATTTGTTTCTTGTTCTGATTATTGAGGAGAAAAAGAACTATTTTTTGAGAACCAAAAACGCATGTAAAAAATTTCTTCATTGATTCACTCTTACTTCTTCAATTATAATCTTTATTTTTAACACAGTAAATGTTCTTTAAAATGACTATTTATTTGATAGAATTGCTTAAGTAATTGCAGAGATATATCGACAGGAACATGTGTATGAACTTTTGTCTCTTACGAAATCCCTAGTCGAACTTCTTGTGGCATGCGCATGAAAAACATGAACCTCTTGAGCACGAAAGTCATGCGCTATGGACACATCTTGAGAACTGCCTGGATCAAGAATGGGAGAAAAAAAGTTCGTCTAGAACTAATAGTCATAAGTACGACGTATACATGTATAAGGAAAATAGTTTTTGATATGTTCATCGATTTGATTCACTGGATTACAATATAGAGCAGCAAGTTTTGTACAATTATTTCGTGTTATATATCTTGTAAAATAGTATGTCACTCTTTCGAGTGATTCATAATTGACCAAAAGATGAAGATTAATTGGCAAAGACATATTCATATCAAATAAAAATAGTTCGAGATAATCATCATGAGTTTTATTAAGATCAAGTCGAGTAAGATTGAAATATTCAATAATTGGTAATATTTGATTATTGTTGTTTGATTTTATAAATTGTTTATATTTTTGTGCTTTTTGATTTTTTATTGTTAATTCTTTCATAAATGGAAATGATATTTGAATTCGAAGAAAAAGTTCATATTCAAATGGATGTTCATCATATAATGATACTTGAGTAACACTGGTAAATAATCCACCTCGAAAATTATTTGTTAGGTTATTGTAAATTTTCCATTTATATGGATATGAATAAATATGACATTGACTATATCTTTTTTCTTGAAAATGATCAATAGAAGTAATTATTTGATTATTAGAAATATTTTTAAATGTATTCTTAATATGTTCATTTAATGGAAAATTAGTTTGATTACGATGATTAATGATTGAACATATATTAAATGTGAATTTATATAATTGTAGCATATAAACAATAATATCTCTCTTCAATGTATCACCATCAATAAATTTTTCATAACAATTAACTGTAATATTTAAATCAAGTTCTTCTAAATTTAACATTCGATGTAGAAGTGGCACAATTGATTCATCATAACTATGTATTTCCTTCTCGCAGCATAAAGAGAAAATCCGTAAGTTTGGTAGTTTTTGCTGAAAATGAAAACAAAAAATATGAATTCATTTAACGAAAAAAAATATTGATAAAAATAACCTACCTTATGTTCAGTTTGCAAAAATCCGCGCAGAGCACCATAACAAGTAACATAAAGTATACGAAGTTGATCAAAACGTCCATCAAGTATACAAAAACAGTCATTCATATCTCTCACAGTGACATGTAATTCTAATAATGTTGAACAAATAGTTCTATCTATCATATAAATAATTAAAGCATTAAGAAAAGATGAAGATGGATTGATTTTTAAGCATTGTAAATTAGTACATGTATCGAAAATTCCTACTAATATAATTGAACACATATATCCTACTCCAGACAAATAGTTTTCATCACTCAAATTGATAAACAGTGATGAAATTTGATTCTTGAGCAGATCAGTTAAAGAATTTCTACCTAAATAAAGTTTTAAAGTAAATGATAAAAAAATATTTTCAAATCTATTTCTATTCATTCGATTAAAACATCTAAGATTTTCAATTTAACAACCTTTTTGTTTTCTTTTTTAAATTCTCTGATAGATTACATTGTATATGATCCATGTTGTGTTCTATATCCCATTTGTTGACTTTTTTCTATTATTGATTTTCTTCTCAGCGGCGGATCTAAGATTTTTGGAGGGGAAGTGCGATTTTCCAATGGGAGGAGGGCGCGCAGTTCTAGGCAAAAAATATAATTCCAGACATAGACGGCAGAGCGATCACCGTCTTGGGTAGGCTCAATTTTTCATTCGACGTAGATCAAGTGTATTCACCTTTAATTTTAATTGGATTGGTAGGTAGATAGGCAGTAGCAGTAGGAGATGAATTTTAACTAGTGTTGTTATTGATTTTTAGCTTTTTACTTTGAAAGAGAAATTAAACTTTCTGTGCTTACCCAACATTGGTATACAGAAAGATTAATGATACTCAACTGTTTGAAATTCGCAACGTGTTGTAAAAGAGAAATTGGAGATAAAAGTTATAAGTCTTTTATATGGCACATGAATCATTCTGTCTTGGTATAGTACTAAAGTTCATCAACACACTAATGGACAAGAATTGATAATTGAAAAATCATGGACTTATCATAGAACATTGTGTAATCTGTTAAAAGAGTGACAAGTAAGCTAACCATCAAATATATATATATTGAATCAAGCCTACCCGTGCCCGCTTTTCTAGTTCGAGTCTACTGAAGCCAGCCCTTTCATAAGCTAGGGTAAACTTCAGTCTACCCGATTCAAATGGTTTCGCCGCCTATGATCCTGCTACATTTTGAGCTTCATTGAAATTCTTTAATGAGATGTCAATAAAACACGAATTTTAATCAACACTCAGGATTTTCTTGCGCTTGTTATTTTGAAAAAACAATACTATTTGATTTTGCTTAGTTGGCATTATGATATATGAAAGGAGTACTATTTATCGACATATCCTTATCTCAAAATCTATTTCCAGCAGAAGTTAACAACACAAGGATGTTATTTTATGTGTGGAACGAAGAATTTCGGCACCAACATCGATGGCAATAGAATTCATTAAATTCTTTATTGAATTCAAGTGTTACGGGTGATAGAGAATGTATTAACTAACTTTGTAACGGTGGGTTATCTGTTACTGGCATTATCAGTCATATGTGAAAGCAAAACAATGACGAAAGACTTCGATTTACTTGAGCCTACCCAAGCCTACCCTATTCCAAGCTAGGATAGGCTCAAGCCTCGTGAGCCTATAGGCTCCGTCACCTGATTCTAGATGTATTCGAGGTAGTACGAACCTGTTTTTTTTCGTTCGTTTTTGCTGGAAAAAATCGAAAAATTTTCTGGAAGGGGGCTGCACCAAAGCGATCGCACCCCCTAAATCCGCCACTGTTTCTTCTAGACTTCCTACATATTACGTCTATTGATCTTGAAAAATTTCAATCAAATATATAATCAAAATCTTTTTTTTTTTATACAAATCAATGATTCAATTCTTTTTCTCGTCATGACGTTCCTATGAAAGATATGTTTTGTGTAGTACATTAAACTGAAATCAAAAATGATTTTTTATTGGTAGATGATATTTCATTATGAATATCTAATTCTATTCGATTATATGTTCAAAATATAATCATTTTATTTTCCAATAACTATAAAATTCTACAATGAAATAAATCAAAGAAAAACTCTTACCAAAAAACAGAGACTCAGCTACTTGGTACTTAATGTCACATAAACCAAGGTGATTTAAATTAGGATAATTTGTAGCATGAAGAACACGTTCTATTGATGTTTGTGAAAGAAAAAGAGTTTTAATTTGATGTCCTATTTTAGGCAAAATTTTTGAACAAAATCGATAATTATTGGATCTGGAAGTGGAAAAGTAGACTCGTCGACTGGATAATATTCTAGTAAACATAAATCGCGAGTAAAAATTGTATCATGTACAATTCTATCGAGTCGTTGATTAACATCCATTAAAGAATAAAGTACTTCACCATTGTACAATTTTTTAAATATATATATAAGAATTTCATCTGGTAAATCATTCAACTGAACCAATAAATTGTTCATGTTTGTTTGTCTACGCACATCTACTTTTCTAAGACTATATATATATGTTGTATCATTAATTTTGATTGACCGATATCGTCAATGAAAACAATGATATTCTTTTCAAATATCTTATTAGACAATGAACGAAAATAGCAAAAAATAGGATGACTTTTTTTTTTTTTTTATTATGCATGAGTTTACGCTATGACCCTGACGGTCCTAAAGGGACAAATAGGATGACTTTTTTTCTTTCTCTTTGTTGTTATTGAATAATCTTTAAAAAGATATATGATAGAAAATTTTATTTATTTGCAAAGAAAGAAAAAAGCATATTTATGAAATTTCTTATGTTTCATTAAGTGATTATAATAAACATTATTTCAGTTGTTATATTCGAATTTTATTCTTGATCGTTTGAACGAAAGTCTATTTGAAATAATATTGAAAAATAGTTCAATTGATCAAAAATTTCATTTTAAATATATGGATTTATTTGAAAGTTATTTTAAATTATCTTGAATAGATTAATTTCAATATAAGATTTCTTTTTTTGACAAGTGATTTGGAGTAATTAACTGAATTGAATACAACTGAGTTTTTAGAGATATTTTTAGTGTGTGATAGAAAATTTTTGAAATATTCTAATATATTTTAACTAATTTCTCTAAATGATTTATTTCAAATGATATAAAATCCACTCTAAGAATATAGTCGAATAGAAACAGTTGCCATTTAGTTTGACTATTAAATGTCAATAAAAAATATTAAAAAACCATCAATGAGTCTTATTTTCTTGTTTATATACAGATCAATGTTACAGCCCATGAAAATGAACATTTTGAAAAGAATATTTTATAGGATAAAATATATTTTGAAGATATCATACCAAAAACGCTCGATTATTTTTTTAATACATTATTTTTTTAAGTGATACTTAAGTCAGTCATTCGTTCTCCATACCTAACCATCAATTCGAACTGGGAAAAAGGTTGCCGAGATCGTAAGAATGTGACGAGTGCATATTTGAAGCACTTTTTTTTAAACTTGATTCCGTTCGGGAACTGTAAAAGTGCAAAAAACGATAACTAACGGCTGAGAATTTCCTTATATGGTAATAGTTGGTTCAGATTCATTATCTGGTAACTTGTCAGTTAAACAAAGACAGTTGAACACAACTGAAATTTATCATGATTTTCTTTACCGGAAGCCTAAAATTTAGAAACAGCAGATGTTATATAGGATCGTGTTCTGAAGATTTTCAGGTTCATGTAGTCAACCGAATTTTGTACTCGGGCTTTGCTTGAGTGGAAGTCTAGTTCTTTTTTTTTCTGTTATTTATTTAAGTATTAAGATATGTGTCATAAATAAAAAAAATAGGTGTTAAACATGTTTTAATATCAATATTGAGTCAACACTTCAGGGAACGCCAATCTAGTGTAGTCAGTATGCCAATGAGCATCAGCGTGAGTTTTTGATGTGCAATTTACTTATATTGCACATTCTTAACTCCAATTTTAATGAACTGTTTTGTTCAGTTTGAATTATGAAGATTTATTAAATATATCAATATATTTTAAAAACATGTTTCATTGATACTGGGATACCATTATTGACCGTATAATAATGAAATATAAATAAAATATATTTATTTAATCTATTTGATTACTTTTTAAATATTAGTTTAGTGGAGTATTATTTTTGACATGCAATCTTAAGAAATATAACAAAGTCGGTGTAGGATAAAATCCTTTAAAAAGAAGTCACTGAAACTGAACTATATATCTATATTGAGCACTAGGATATGTCTGAAATTCGTTTTGACAAGACGAGCCAAAGCTTTTCTAAAAATTAAAGACAACATAGAAAATAATTTCCAGTTGGTAAAAACCAAACACTATCTTGCAATGTGATATATAACAATGTTTGTAATTTAGAAATTAATAATTCTAAGAAATACAACATTTTCACCAAGCATCTTCGACAGTAAGATGGATAGAAAATTAGATAGTTTGGAAAAAATTATAGAAATTTAAGAAAACACTAACATCGACTCATTTTTGAATTATAGATATATCTAAAATTCGGAAATTTGTGTGTTATTGCATCCTCTGGCAACATCCGAACTTAGCTCAGCTGGCAGAGCGGTAGGCTGTAATGGTGTATCAATCGTAGTAACCTATAGGTCCCCAGTTCAAATCTGGGAGTTCGGATTGATAATTTTTTTTTTTCGTTCTTTCTGTATGATTGTACTGTGTTGAAGCACAAAGTGAAACACAAATTATAAATCTTCTCGTATTCTGATTGATTTCTTAATCAATTTTTTTAAACTTATTAATTTCGCAGGTGTAAAGAATCAGGTAGTTAGATTGTGTGAATTTTTTTTATCGATTAGTAAATAAAATAGAATAAGTAGCGTAGTTAACAAATATTAAAAAGTTTTTCATATTGTACTTATACATTTTATTACTATGTTTGTGACAATTTTTTTAAACACTAGAAAACAGGTGTGTACTCATGGTTGCCTTACGTCAGAGAATTAAAGCTTAGAGTATAGAAAAAAATTATTTTCTCTTTAAGATTAGTTTTATAAGTTGAATTCGTTAGAATATAAATTCATCTGAATGAAATCAGCTCAAATGAAAGTTTCTATATTTTACATAATTATAATGCAGTGCTCGCAAAAAGTCTCACTACCAGATAAAAATTATCTAAAATTTAACCCTTTAGACTCATAGTTGAACCATGAATAAACTATTCTGAACTTCAATCGCAAAGGATTAATCAACACTTGATTAGTCTTCATATAGAGGAGCTAGAAAGTCAGCATCGATTTTTTTCTTTAAAGGAGAATATTTCAACATAGAAAACAAATCTTACAACGTTACATCCCTCATTCAATCTTGAAAAGTTCATGATCGCAGCCATCGATGAAGAAG